TGTCAGAAGCCATAAAATACGAACTAGCAACTTCCTTGATTTGGGATTATTATAAAGTCCGGCAGCTTGCAGATAACAGCTCAGGGCGTTGGCCGCCAAATATATGTCACCGGGTTCCCTTTTGAACTTACGGTCGTTATAATATCCCCATGCGGCCCAAGCCTTAGGAAGACGCATATCCACCTGAACCGCACGAGAAAAACTCTCATTAGCCTCGGCGCTTCTACCCAATTTTGCCAGTATCATTCCTCGTAAAGTGTGAAATTCGGCTTTTTGTTGATTTCCAAAATAATTCAAATTAGTATTGCTGATGACGTCCAAGGCGTTAGAAACTTCACCAGGATTCTGATAATGGCATTTTGTTTGTTCCCTTAATTTTAAGAATGCCTCTTGGATCTCTATGTTTGGCAAGGAATAAATAAGTTGCAAGAAATTCACGCACACCTCTGAGAGTTGATGCTTCCTTGCCACATGAGCAAATCTATTAATAGTCCATGCCGTTTCGTGGTGACCGCGGAAAGGATAATTCGCATTCGTGTTATTGGTGGGTTGCATTTGAAATTGGGCAAATGATTTATTTATAACATTAAAAACGTGTCGTCTCCAAGCAACTATGTCACTCCAAATATTTATATCATCCCACATGTTTGGCAATCGTTCTCTCCAACTTTGTAAAACACTCTTAAGTTCACCGGCCTTCGTGTCCGCATTTTGCAAATTTATATTTGCCAACGATGTGAACATTTTTGTGGCCTCATCAAACTCCACCAGCAATTGAAAAGTATGCAACAACGGAATGTGACTGTGAGAGACAACGTTGGGAAGTGTGTACCATTTCCGTAAGGTCAACTGATGCGCTTCTTCGGAAGATTTCTTAAAATCTTCGAAATTATTTGTATGCTGGGATTTGATTAAATTCATAAAAACTTCAAACATCTTTCGTCGAGGGGTCGATGATTCCGACATCGTTTGAATAATTTGCTCCAAATATTCCTTGTCAGCGGACCAATCGGGCGAACGAAATGCGCATTCAATCATCAAGTCTGCATTATTCTCATTTTTTGCAAGTTCAGTCAGTATGTCCCATTGTTGTAATTTTTGAGAACACATTATCCAATGATCCTCCCACAATAGGTACTCAGGTTCATTAATTAGTTGCCCTGATGATCGTGTCTTTGTCTGAGCATTCTCATATGCGATTTGAGCCTGCGCCCAATTTCCATACTGTTCGTATGACAATGCAACCTTTGTTTCTGTAAATTTACACCGGTGCTTCCATAATCCATAAAACATGTCATCTTCTGACAATGTAGAATAGAGATCAGCCAATGCATCGGAAGTTCCTTCATTAAATTTATCGTCATCTCTGATACCTACGATGACATCATGCTGGAGAATTTCGATTGCAGTGTGCCATGCGCCATGGGACTTTCCGAGGTATTTAACCAAATGCGGCGGCAACCTAATAGCCGGATAACAACGCGATATACCATCTAATAAAGCTTGAATACAATTTGGCCTCAAGTCTGTTTGAGTGGAATGATAATCTTTAGACAAAAGAGACACTAAGTTGTATGACATATCCTGTCGTTCTCTGGAAGGAATTGCACTCCAGCAAAGAGGAAAAAGATCCACCCATAACTTATACGCCACAAGGTCATCCAAATAATGAAGTTGTTTTAAGTGTGACATCAGATCACTCACTTTCATTTTTTTCATCTCACGCAGAAACTCCCGATGTTTTTCCAAGAATGTTTCAAATTCTTCGCTAGCATCCACAGAAAATGAATCCGAATAACAATCTCCGCCAAGAGAAGCAATTGACTTTGTTTGCAAACTATGATTCGGTGGTAATATCCTTTTCTTATTGAAAATTGAACCAAGAAGAATGTCTAAAGCCTGGTGAATCCAAAAATAGCCTGCCAGGTGTCCCCAGTTTTGTTCGGCTATGACATAGTTTAAACGTGTGGATAACGATTTTGCCATGCTCCGATCAAAAATTGCCATAAATTGATTACGAATCTTAGGATTCGGATCCCGAGTACCAGTGAGAAAAGCTTTCTCCAATTTTAACGTCAATTCGGATCTGGCGAACGACTGATCACTGTATATGGAAATAACGAGATTTAAGTAGTCCTCAAATAAACTTTTGTCATCTAGAGATTCAAAGCATAACATTTTGTCTAAAATGATTGCCTTTTCTTCAACGGTGGGAAAAGGTTGAATATTATTGACAACCCATTGTTTTACCATGCCGAAAATAGTTCGTAAAAGCTCATTATCTTTTGTCTTTTCCACAAGTTGGGCGAGGCACG